CTTGCGGATGCCTTGGCTTTGAGTTCCTGATTCTTGAACTCTACTGACCGAGCTTGATCCTCCCTTTTCTGTTCGAGCTTCTTCTGCAACTTGATTTTCTTATCATTCGCGGTGAGAATGGGCTTCGCTTCCATCTTGACTTGACGATTGCGGGCCCAACGATCTAAGGCGTGGCGGTCGAAGCCAAAGAAAAGAGGGATAGTAGGCTGAATCTGGTTCCCAGACCGATCCAGATCCTGAGAGTAAAGGGTGTCCGTGGTGAAAGAGATGAGCCCCAATGGGTGCAGTGCGATACCGAAGTGTGCCTGGAAGCACCAGACCGAGCCGACGGCTACTGAAGACGGAGATGGAGCGGTTGCCGAATCCAGTCGAGCATTTCTTTGGCGAGGCCCAGACGGAACTTTTTGTCCCTAGAACCCTGCGGAGAAAATAAGGTGGTCCAGGCATCCTTATCATACCTGAAAACGTACCCCCTATGCGAGCGTGAGTGGGTACGGCTGCCACCAGAGTGGTCAAAGTAGCGATTCTGAGTAACCCAATGCTTACAATATTGAAACAGCCTCGACGAAAAATCTTCTGGATGTCTTTGCATGTGTGAAACCCAACTGATGGCGGAGTCCAAATGGAAAATAGCCCAAGAGACTTCTTTAAACCCTTTGATTTTGCGATTTCTGCGTAAACTGTATTGTTCTGGAGATTCCCCAGGGAGCCTTTTGAGTTTCAACATGATCCTGATACATTGATTCTGTGCCTTGGTAATTAAATCCGCCGTCGTCTTACAAGGAACCCAGGCAGCACCTCTGGATCGTATAATCCCTCCCGCCATGCAGTTCAACTTAGCGAGACGTTTAGACATGGGGATATGCCCGTTAATCAAGAATTTACTGTTAGCCCAAAAGGCTTTGTTGATCTGCGAGATACCCCGCTTGACATCTTCGTGGCAGGAACCATTGGCAGTGAGGACAGGGCCCAAAACCTTGGCCTCAGGTACCACAGACCATGTTTTCCCGAAGGGGTCCGACCACTTGTAGCCTTGAAAGTGGTAGGGGTAAGCCGGCAGAATTTCCCGATCGTCTTTGAGCCTGAGCCGATGTTCATTCCATAGCTCTGACTCAACTAGGGCGGTCAACGTTGCCAGATCCTGTTCCGAGGAGGCCACAACAAAAATGTTATCTGACCAACTGAGGAGTGCAATCCTGAAGTCAAATCCCAACTGCTCGCAGCGAATTGCGATTCCCAGAGAAGAATGAGAGATTTTCTCCAAAGTGGAGGCGAAGCAATCTTCAACCGAGACGCGCGCCAGAATGCAAGCTGTCCCAGCTCCTTGCATCAATCCACGGTCTCTTTGGATAATCCCAGTGTTTGAATCCAGGAGAGAAATGGAAACTCGAGGGTTCCTATGCAGCCTGATGCAGCCCACTGCTAAGAAGAAAGGGACTCCTCGTCCCAATAAGCTCCGTAAAACCATTCCGTAACGAATCTGATCGTGGTGTGCTTTGATATCGGTAATCCCAACCATTCCTTTGTTGAAGTGATCTCTCCCATATTCTAAAATGTGGTAGACACTCGTGTGAAGCTCTTGTAATTGCCCACCTTTGCTTAGCCCAAAAATCAGGCCCTTGAGACCCTTGGAGTCAGTGTATGAATCCAAAACTGGAATAATGGCCCTCGCCACATATGCGTGCCCAATCTTGGCGATGGCAGGCTGAGGGATAACAACTCTAGTTTGAGAAGGGGTTCCAAAACCCTTGATCTTGTTACCCAGGTGGCCCCCGAGTGTGACGTCGTTCCAGAACTCGGGGTTGCCTAAGCAGGCTTGTATACACCCCTTGAGCCTTTGGGACCAGCCTGAAACTTTAATAATAGCCGTGCAGGCAAACTCTGTGTCAATCTTGCGAGGGGCCTTGATGTCGTCCAGCGCGTCCTCCAGCAAGGACGGGATGATGGGGTCGTCGTAGAAATTGAAGAAACCCAAAGATCGAAGCCAGGCAGTGTCCTCCTGGCGCTCCGAGTCTGAGAGTCCCCACCTCTCTCTGTATTCTTCCGCGACTAGCGTGGTACAGCGATCCACTTCAAAAATCTTGACTTGATCTACACAGAAACCCAAAATTGGAAGAAGAGACTTGCGTGAAGCCCAGACACGTTTTCCTTGAGATGCGTTGAGCGCCACCTGAGCCAATTCACGCTGAAGTTTCGTTATCTTAAGTGCTTTCAAGAGGAGCTGACCCACGGCGACCCTCGAGGCTTCGTTAAGTTCGGAGTTGAACCGCGTCCTGAGACTCTTGACCCAAAATGGCTCTTCAGCAAATCTCCTAAAACTCCTAGGGAGAGCCTGAGTCGCTTCATACACCTGTCCCAACATATTTTCCCAGAAATCGAAAGAGAGAGTAAGGTCCTCTGGATCGTGGTACCTTACCGCACAAGACTCAGGTTGTTCTTCATCGTTTAGACGAGTAAGTTCCGCTGATTCGGGAAACAGACTCTGGGCGATCTTCCTGACCTCTAAAATGTTTGTAGGGGTCCAAAGGAGCGGTCTTCTCTTGAGGGCCCGCTGAGGGAAGGCCAGGACGTCACATCCGATGAGGGCATGGTCCCCAGGTACGCCCGCCAAGCAGGCGAAGCAGTCAGAAGAAAGATCACCCCTGGCGAGAGCAATGTGATCGATCGTGCTGCTGGCTTGAGAGAGCGCCTGATCACCGTCGGGCTTCCTCGTGAATTGCATGGAGGTCTCCTGGAACCTGAGAGGGCACCAATGGAGGTCGAGGTAGGAGCAGGCTTCGCAGAACGAAAGAAATGTTTGGTCTCCGTTGCCTTGATCTGCGTTCATGTCCCCCAACCAGGAGAGAGTGGATCCGACAGGGCGGGATCGACCGAGTTGGATAGCGCAATTGAGAGAATCATGGAAAAATTCATGGGCAAGGTGAGAGAAGAGAAAGGATCTGGCATGATGGTGGCATCCATCGAGACAGTCAGGACGAAGATCAACGCGGATGGATCTCCAATCACAGACAATGTCTTTCACACGTTTTCTCAGAGATTTGTGCACAAGCACGCCCATGGCCCTACACCCAGGGCCAGGATGGTGACGGTAGTAGGCGTGGCCATTGAAAACGGGGCGAAGAAGCCCATCGTTTTGAAGGCAGCCCTTGAAATCCGCCTCTAGGATACAAATTAAGCCCCAGCACTTCAGCTCGAGCAGATCTAGATTGGCTTGCATTAGGGTCTCGTCTGCCCACTTGCCTTGCACGTTGAGTGCACAAACAAGGCCCCTCACGTAGGCGTCTCAAAGAGAGAGAGCCTCTTCGATGGTGTCTTTCAGCGTCTTGCGAAGCGCTTCGTCGGGGATTTCCTTGAAGGATTCATGCCACAGAAATTCCCCATCCTTGATACCACCAATCTGATGATCTAAGACAAAACATTTTCGGGTCCGTGAGCAAATTACGTAACTGTCTGAACGATCTCCCATTGCTTTTTCCAGTGCACTGGAAATTGTCTTGAATAATTTTGCAGGGCCTCGCTCCTCCTTGGTACTGATTTGTCCACACCAGATCAAATTTTCCATGTACCCAGGAATCTTGAGATCACGGATCGTGGCTGCCGCTTGAAGTCCCACCGATACCGAACTCCACTTGATCTCAACACAGCTCCCATATCCGAAAGGGGCAACAATGTGCGTGGGCTGGGGAACATCTGCTCGGCGCAAGACCGCTCGCGCCTTTTCCAGGGCATCCTGCTTTTTAAGATTCCAACCCAAGTTGGTGAGAATGAAAATGTCTCTGTCTGCTCTCGGGGTGCTTGCCCAAGGCGGACCCTTTTTCTTGGATGGACCCTGGCTTGACTGGCTCTCCAATTGTTTTGCCGCCATTTCTGCGCGCAGAGCCTTCTGCTCTAGTTCGACTGCCAGAATCCTTTCGTTGAAGGCCTTCTGGACCTCCGTCTCACCTGCCTCAATGTTGGCAAGCTTTACCTCATGATCATTGATCAGGGTGACGGCAACCGAGAACTCCTGAGCCAAAGCCTTTTGGGTTCCCAGGACATCCAGTTGGAGGGAGTCAATACGATCCTTTATGGGAGCGATCTTTCTGTCGAGGAGCGACTCTAGTTGCCCCAAAAAGGCGTCCGTCCCTGTAGCTGTTGAGACAATCCCAGAAGAGCTTGTCCCATTCTCTCCCAGGCCTGTACCTTTCGCTGAACCCTTGGCGGCCAATGTCCTCATGGCTTTCGATGTATCTTGCTGATTCTCTTTGTCTTCATCTGCCATTCTGGCGTCGTCTCTCAACCTTTTCTGTTTGTCTATATCTATTGCCAAGAGCTTTTGCATTGTTTCTCCGAACTGTAGTGCCGGCATGGCTGAGGTGAATACTTACACTCCACTGAATCCCACTCCCAAAATGAAGCGAAGGGCCAAATTGACCAAGGCAACAATGGTGTGATCCCACCGATAAATCCCACCAATGACAATGAAATCCCACCGATGAGAGAAAATCCCAATGATAAATTCCAACAATTGGACCCAAATTGAACCAATCGTTCACTTCCACGGCGGCGAAGACAGCAATGGCAACCGCGCCCCCCCCGCGGCCGCGCCCCCCCCCGCGGCCCTGGGCCCTGAGCCTTGGGCCCTTGAGGAGCAGGAGGAGCAGAAAAAACTTGAGCACGATGGGCGATGGATCGAAAGGACCTGGCCACGACTCATGCCGCAAAGAAACATCAGTGATTGCTGCAATCTTTACATTCACTAAACTGCGTGGCCAAGGAGGCTACATACTGACCCACAGTCTGAGACCACTTGAGGGCCTGAAGGACCTCCAGAGCCACTCTTTTTCCCGGGACCGCGCGCAGCCAGCACACGCTTGGATCTGTAAAACACAAGCTCGGAGCGCGCTTGCCAGAGCCACGATCGCTGCGAGCGCGACCGAAACAGTCACTCCACGTAACAGTTGCAATATACCTTGCATTAGACCAAAGGGCTGGTTGGCGGAGGGCCGCGAGCAGGCGACTGGACAGAGTGGCAGCGGCGGCCGAGGCGAGGCGCTGATCGCCTGGCTGCAACTTCTGAAACACAGCGTGCAGGCGGGCGTGTTTCTCGTATCTAGACACACTGCGATGGTCGGCCCATTTTCCTCGGCGACGCACCTCCTCTAGGGTGTAAGCTTTGGTGTATGCGCCCGTCGACGGACCACCGTGGCGCAAGCAGTGGGGTGACAGACGGAGGTGCGAAATGCCGAGCCGCACAACCGAATCCTTGAAACATTTCTCGAACTCTCGAAGCCCGAAGGGGAAGATGAAATGATCACACTGGATGCGAGGGAAAATGATCGCAAGAGCTCGAGCGATCCACTCCCGTCCAGCGACCTCGCCGACCACGATGCTGTCATCGTAGGCGCCGGTCTTCGAGGGTTGGCCTGATTCGGCTGGGGACAGTCGGAAGCACCAACGATCATAACACTCGTGAACTGCAGCAGCCGGTGGCATGACGCTAGAGCGGCGCAGTGTGCATCCTACGCCAGGCCGCAGATAACAGTCGAAGCACAGGACGACTAAAAAAGCGGCAAGCGCCAGACCTCGCTGGAGCATGTCGTCAGCGATCCACCGCGCGATCTCGAGAGGGGCTGGATCGCGCGTCCCGCCCGGCTCAAGGTTCCGCCATCCAGCGAGCGCGGCACGGCTCCTGATGTAGAGCCTCCGATCTTTATGAGGCATCTCAGGATGGCACCACGCGAAGCCATACAGGGCGGAGCGGGCTACTGACTGCGGCACTCCACTCAAGAACAGCAGCTCCATGAACCTCTCCAGCGCCTCGTCAACGTGATCAGCGGTGTCCAACGGCAGCCCACTGCGGCGGGCGAAGGCGACGAACTTGTTGTTAGCCTCCGTGTAGGCCTGGCGGGCCCCTGCCGACCGGATCGTGTGCGCCCTCAGGAACCCTGGTCCTCCTTCCGCTCCGAGACGTTGAGCACGCGCAGCGGCAAGTCGGGCCCGTGCCCCAGGCGCCTGTCGCCCCGGCCCAGGGCGAGGTCCAGCGACGCGGGAGGTGGCTGAGCTCGAGCCGCGGCCGTTGGAGACCGGCCCCAGCGTCTTGACGCAGCTCCTCTTGCCAGGCATCCGACAGCCGGGCCTCGCCCGGCGCGCGCTCCGCTCCCCTCGGAGCGGCGCAGCGTGCGGCCCACGCCCACGATCGGCACAGCTGGGGAGAGTACGAGGCTGCAAGACTGGTCTTCCACTTCCAACGATGATGTCCGTCTTGAGCCGATAGTCGCACTTTCCCCTGAAGGATCTCGCGAGGCCCCCGACATTCACACTTCAGACTCAGGCTATTCAAGGAATCACAATTAGTCGCTAGTAGGGTCGGCTTCTTGTACGAACAACCGTATCGACAACAATCATACTCGACAAAGAACGCGTCCGCATATTTCAGGGCCTTCTGGATCTCGGGTTGCCTAAACAGAGATGAGGTCTTGGGGTTCTCGAGGGAGAAGTATATCTTCAGATCCGTGCAGAGCTTGCTCAACTTTGCAGTGAACCGAACGTGCCCCCGAGACACCCTCGCCGACTTTTAGGCCGAGACTTCCTCGCAATACTCCACGGGGTACACGGCGTCCCAAGATGTAAGTACCAGATGCGGCCCTCGGTGAGCCACCTGACCACGACGTCCTGGACCCCCCGCTTCTCGAGATTGAACTCCGGACCCTCGGCGATATCGAACGGCACGGACACCCTGAGGCCCACCTCGGCCATCCCAGAAGTCAGAGCCCCACAGCCGGAGTAGAGCTCCAGGAAGGCTGGCGCGAAGCGTCTCGAAGAACGCGGCAAAGGCGGCGGACGAGACGAAGACTGCTGAGCACTCACCTCCCTGCCTGGCTGACGGGACGATGCAGGCCGAGAGGTGCTCATTTTCAGACCCAGTGAATCTCCTGCAAGCGGTATTGCTCCCCGAGACCAGAGAGGACGTCGAGCATCGGGCTTGTCGTCCCGAAGCCGGCGAGAGAGAGCTGGCGAGGCCGAGCAGCGCGGAGGGCCCCGAGAGGTTGTGGCAACATGATGTGTTTCGTCGTCGAAACGTCTCGATCCCTCGTCTGCGGGATTTAGTTCGGATTCAATGTATCGGAGCCTCAGGTCGATGCCACATCCAATCGAGTAGGCGGCGCACCTGCGGGCCAAGGCAAGCAGGCCGAAGTCTTTAGCTCGGCCCTTCTCGAGACAGCACAGTGACGAGAGATTATCAGACAGCACTAGGAGTCGACGTCCATGACCTGAACGAGTGTACGACTCTCTGCGGAGCGCCATCAGAATCACCCTCCCCTCCTTCATACGGATGGCCTCGTCCCTCTTCCACCTCCCCTCGAATAAAGTACGCCAACGACCAGGCTCGACAACGTTCTCGGGGAGGATCGGGACCATGCCAACTATCTCCTTCTGCTCTAGCTGTCTACGCTCCTTACCTCGTAGTTTACAGACTCCCGAACGAAAACCCCCCGACTCCAGAACGCCCGAAGACGGGGTGGGTATCCCAGCAGACTCCAGAAGCCACCGCGAATATGACGTGTCAGGCACCTCGAGATCAGCAGACCAGCCAGGGTTCGGGGGCGGCAGGCTCCCAGAGGCCCTCAAGGTGTCCCCGCGATCCCCCTCCACTTCCACGAACCGCCAACGCTCCTTCCACCTTGTAAGCTTTCGGAACTCCTCGGGGCCCATGGGGGTGTCCATGACGGCGTATCCCTTCCCTGACGCGTCTCCACAGTAGGCTCGATCCGATGGCGGAACAGACAGCCGTGCCTCGGCCAAGAAAACGAGCCCCGCCATCAGGCGGAACTCACGCTTCACCTGACCAGGTAGCTCACATGTACGTCCGAGGCTGTCGTTCACAAACCGACAGGCGTGAGCAAAGACAGACATCGCCGGCCTCAGGAGGACAAGGTAGTGGATGCAATGACCCAGCAGAACTCGAACTGCCTCTCCAGTCACCCGACGCAACTTCAAAATATACTTAATTTTAAGATACAACCGCCAAGCCCTCTCAGACTTGTGACGAATGCTGCACCTGCTCTTGTCTATCACTATGCCCACATTCTCGACAAGCAATGCGTCCCCGCCCTCCTCGTGCAACGTGAACCCCACACTCTCAAGCTCCATCCTGATCGCCGCGTAGTCTGACGAGACCTCGGAGCTCGAGAGGCCCACCGTGGCAAGGTTATCCACATAGACACTCGAGACGGGACCAGATCGAAGACCAGGAGCAGGGAGCCCCTCTTGCACTAACCGGTGCTTCCCCCCGATCGCCACGGAGGTGACTGGCTTCACCGAGGTGGTGCAGAAGTGCAGGGCCCAGGACCAGCCTTGCGGCATCCCAAGAAAGACAGGAAACACTTTCTCCGTGGGCCGGGCGGGGCGAAGCCTCTCGAGATCGTTGTCGAAGATCTGCGAGAGGCCGAACTCGGAGCACCGGACGGGGTCGTCTAGGCCGAACCACTCAGCCATCGACTCGACGGAAAACTGGTAGAAGGCGTCCTCCACGCCACCTACGCAGACGGAGAGGTTCGGGATCTCGGCGATCGGGCCACACCCCTGCGCCAAGCTAGCGAGCTCATCCTGGTCAAGCCAGCCGTCGAGCTGCGAGAGGGCGCCAGCTCCGCCTGGTCTAGTCTTCGGCAGCAAGCGGTGGTGGCCGTTCGGCATCCTGGCGTCCACGATAAGCCTGATCCCACGGCGAGACGACTTCCACACAAAGAATATCCCCACCTTCGCCTTGATACGACTTCTGAACCCCAATAGTCCCTTGTCATAGAGCTTACGATAGAGGTCGAGCCGCGCAGACCGATCTTGTCGCAAGTGGGGGCCCCAGTAGGGCCTGAAGGTCGGGTGCTCCTCATTCCAGGCATCGATCTCGGGTTGCGAGCGGACGAGGTACCTATCAGGATCAATCAAGAACGCCGCCTCCTCAGGCGGCAGCAGGTCGACGGCGGGCTTTGGCACCGCCTTGCCCTTCACGATCTTCAAAAGATCGGGCTGATGCGGGGCGAGGTTCTTCTCGCCAGCGCAGTACAGGTCATTAGCCTTGAGAAGCCCCCAGAAGGCTTCCCGAGCAGTCATCCCAGCCGGCATCGGCCCATAACTACCAACGACGTCTCGAACACGATTCATCGCAGCAGTCTGGGTGAAGGAGAGGCGCGGCGGTAACGAAGTCCCGAGCCAGGCACCTCCAGAACGAATCGAGGAGGCAGTAGAGGCAGCCAATGTGTTGAGGCTGCGCACCGCTTCGGCAACCCTGAGCTGTCTGCTTCTTCGAACAATCAAGCCAGGCGCTTCACGGTGTGGAGGGGGCCCACGATCACCACGTCCAGCAACAGAAGGCACTGGCAGCGGGAACGGATCACCATGCTTGGGCCCGCCTCCTCTGTCCAAAAACTCCCCGCTTAGTACACGGGAGGCTCGGCAGGGAAGTGTCTCATCCTTGCCCCGCGGAGCCATGGCGGTCATGATGCCTGCACCTCCTGCTGGCCAGCAGGAGAGGCCTTTGCCTTCGCCTTGGCCTTGGGATTGGGAGGCCCATCGCGATTGTCCGAACGTCGACGCTCGGCGGCCAGCTCCTCGCGCCACTTCCGTTGGGCCTCCATCGTCTTGGCCTCCTCCTTCTGCTTGCTGCTGAGCCAGGAGTCGAAACTGCGCAAGCGGGCCCCGCCGATCTCGTCGCAAGACCCGATGGTGCCGATGTCCAGGCCTGCGAAGTCTGGGTGCTTCGGGTTCCGACGGATGGCCTGCTGGATCTCGTGAATCCTGCGCGCGGCCTGCTCGATGCAAGCCAGGTTGGTCGGATCGATCTGGTCGTAGCTGATCCCGAGCCTCACGATCTGGACCAGGTTCCGAAGCTCATGCGCCACCGACGAGTTCTCGCTGACCCCAGACTTGCGCATGAACGCGTTGAGCCACACCTGCAGGTCACCGCCGTTCTCGAGGACGGACTCGAGAAACTCCTGGGTCGCCTATGGTCCAGGATGAGGCCAGTCTGCGAACGTCTTGGGCGTCACAAGCTCCATCGCCTTCGACAGCGGCAGTGCTCGCCTCTGCGCAGAGTTCAAGAAATGGCCGAGCAGTCGCAGGTCGCCCGAAGCACCACCTGGCAGCCCAGGCCGCTTCCGAGCGAACCATGCGTCGTGGTCTGAGTCCTTTACTAGCTCGACCAGCTGGGCGACGCCATTGATGAGAGCCAACCGCTGAACTTTGACACCATCGTCACGATCATCTGTTGAGTCGGCGAGCTCGGCAGCAGTGATGACCTGATCAAACTCAGCCGACGACGGATCCGCCACGCGCCAGCTGGAGCCTGCCACGCCGCCCGCACCTGGTGCAGGGGCCACGCCCAGCACCTCGGCGATCCCACGCGCCTGCAAACGCATGGTGGCGATCCGAGCAGGGGCTCGCTGCGGCCCTCGAAACACGTACATCATGCCCGCCAGGTCGACCGGGAAGGCCCCGTTCCGAGCTAGCGGCCGCACCTCAGCCCCATTGAAGTCCTCCTCATAGACATCACCGTCTGGAGTCCCTATGATCCACCGACCTGCGGCCACCTTTGTGAACAAGACACGGTGGTGGTAGCGCAGCCCAGCAGCATCGTCGTCGTAGTAGACGAGTATCTGCAGCTCGTCCACATCTAGAGTCCGATTGACCGCCGCCATGCCTCCACCTCCTCACGAGACGCTGTTCCCTGCAAGGCGGCAGGCGTGGACGACCGCGCCACTCGGCGACGCCCTCCGCACCTCCCAAGCACGTAGCCGAGGAGCAGGCACAGCAAGCTAAAGCTCACAGCGAACTCCAGGGGCACCGTCCGCCCGCCGCTCGACGGGCCTGCAAGGGGCGTCGCCTCGCCCGAGCAGTCTGGGCAAGGCGGTGCTGCAGCACAGGTACAGGCTGGCGCCGCTGGGCACGCCAAGGGGCGCCCGACCGCCTGCCTGACGATGTCGAACACGGGCTCGCAGACCTCCGCCGCGGCGGGCGGAGCGGGACAGGTGCACTCGCACCTGGTCGGCGCGATCGCGTCTCTGGTGAGCGTATATATGAAGTGGGCGGCCGAAGAATAGGAGAAGGCCCACTCGAGCATGTGCTGCTGAACTCTTCAGCAGAAAAAACTTGAGCACAATGGGCGATGGATCGAAAGGACCTGGCCACGACTCATGCCGCAAAGAAACATCAGTGATTGCTGCAACATATATGTATATATATATATATATATATATATGTATATATATACATACATATACACACAAGATATTGTTGGCTCGCTTCGCTTCGCCACAACATCCTCATCCTTGGCGCAGGAGCGCGGGTCTGGTACCTCGCCGCGCTATGTGGTCACAGCATGTGGCGAGCTCGTGAACTTTCATTGCCATAAGGGATGTAAACTTGATGTTTGTCGCGAGCTCGACGGCTCAGGGCTGCGTGGGTGTGTTTTTGTAAGGAGTGAATATGTTTGGAAGTGAAGAACCACCCGACGGGGCGAACCAATTTGTGGTTCACGTCGACGGCTGTTTTTTTCTTCGGGGCCCCGGATGGGAGCGTCTGGCGCTCTGCGGGCACGCTGGCGCTGAGGGGCCGTCGTGTGCGTGCGTGCGTGTGTGTGTGTGTCTGTTTTCGTAAGGAATGAGCATGTGCGCTGGCGCAGAGCCACCCGACGGGCCGAACCAATTTTTGGTTCACGCTGACGGTTGCTTTTTCTTTTTCGTGCTCGGGATGGGGGGCGTCTGGCGCCCTCCGGGCACGCTGGCGTCGAGGGGCTGTCGTGGCTGTGGGCTTTCGTAAAGAAAGAGCATGTCCCGGGGCGCGGAACCGTCCGACGGGCCGCGCCAATTTTTGGTTCACGTCGACGGTTGCTTGTTCTTTTCGAGCCCGGGATGGGGGGCGTCTGGCGCCCTCAGGGCACGCCGGCGTCGAGGGGCTGTCGTGGCTGTGGGCTTTCGCAAGGAAAGAGCATGTCCCGGGGCGCGGAGCCACCCAACGGGCCGAACCAATGTTTGGTTCACGTTGACGGCTGCTTGTTCTTTTTCGGGCCCGGATGGGAAGCGTCTGGCGCCCTCAGGGCACGCCGGCGTCGAGGGGCTGTCGTGGCTGTGGGTTTTCGTAAGGAAAGAGCATGTCCCGGGGCGCGGAGCCACCCCACGGGCCGAACCAAGTTTTGGTTCAAGTTGACGGCTGCTTCTTCTTTTTCGGGCCCGGATGGGAAGCGTCTGGCGCCCTCAGGGCACGCTGGCGTCGAGGGGCTGTCGTGGGTGCCTGTTTTCGTAAGGAATGAGCATGTGCGCGGACGCAGAGCCACCCGACGGGCCGAACCAATTTTTGGTTCACGTTGACGGCTGCTTGTTCTTTTTCGTGCCCGGATGGGGGGCGTCTGGCGCCTTCTGGGCACGCTGGCGTCGAGGGGCTATCGTGGGTGTAGGTTTTTGTAAGGAAAGAGCATGTCCTGGGGCGCGGAGTCACCCCACGGGTTTTTGGTGCACGTCGACGGTTGCTTGTTCTTTTTCGGGCCCGGATGGGGGGCGTCTGGCGCCCTCAGGGCACGCCGGCGTCGAGGAGCTGTCGTGGCTGTGGGTTTTCGTAAAGAAAGAGCATGTCGTGGGGCGCGGAGCCACCCGACGGGCCGAACCAATTTTTGGTTCACGTTGACGGCTGCTTGTGCTTTTTCGGTTCCTGATGGGGGGCGTCTGGCGCCCTCAGGGCACGCCGGCGTCGAGGGGCTGTCGTGGCTGTGGGCTTTCGTAAGAAAAGAGCATGTCCCGGGGCGCGGGGCCACCCCACGGGCCGAGGCAATGTTTGGTTCACGTTGACGGCTGCTTGTTCTTTTGCGGGCCCGGATGGGAAGCGTCTGGCGCCCTCAGGGCACGCCGGCGTCGAGGGGCTGTCGCGGGTGTGGGTTTTCGTAAGGAAAGAGCATGTCCCGGGGCGCGGAACCGCCCGACGGGCCGAACCAATTTTTGGTTCACGTTGACGGCTGCGTGTTCTTTTTCGGGCCCGGGATGGGGGGCGTCTGGCGCCCTCAGGGCACGCCGGCGTCGAGGGGCTGTCGTGGCTGCGGGCTTTCGTAAGGAAAGAGCATGTCCCGGGGCGCGGAGCCACCCCACGGGCCGAACCAATTTTTGGTTCACGTTGACGGCTGCTCGTTCTTTTTCGGGCCCGGATGGGGGGCGTCTGGCGCCCTCAGGGCACGCCGGCGTCGAGGGGCTGTCGTGGTTGTGGGTTTTCGTAAGGAAAGAGCATGTCCCGGGGCGCGGAGCCACCCCACGGGCCGAACCAATTTTTGGTTCACGTCGACGGCTGCTTGTTCATTTTCGGGCCCGGATGGGGGGCGTCTGGCGCCCTCAGGGCACGCCGGCGTCGAGGGGCTGTCTTGGGGTTGTCTTGAGCCCGTCCGGGGGGGGGGAATTAGGTGGCGCCCATCCGGGAGGGGGGTCCCTTGATCATTTGATCGGGAAAAGGTGTGTGTGTGTGTATATATATATAGATTCCTCGACTCGCGCGGCGCCCGCGCATTCGAGTAAGTGGCTGCAGCGCCTGTCTGCCGCGCGCATCTCTCAACTTTCCCGATTCCACTGCGGGGCGCGCGTTCGCCATGACGGACCAATTTCGGCAATCGAATGCGAGGGCGGCGAGTATCGGGCCGCGCGCGTTCAGAACGTTGAAAAGTAGACATCCAGCCGCGGCCGCCCACCTTGCGCAGCGGCTGAAAAATGAAAAGAAAAAACGCTAGAGAACTCCCGACGCCGCTCTCGTCGCGACAAGCGCGCCGCCCCATCGCTCGCATAGCGCCGCCGTATTGAACCCTCGCGTCGCGATCTTCTAGGCAAGGGTGCATTCCTTCCTGGACGCTGCCCAGATGCGCTTCTCCCGCGCGGCAACTCGGTCGGCAGCGGCCATCGGCCCCTTCGCCCGCCGGGCCGTCAGCTCGCCCCTGGCGCATTCGAACGTTGCCCCGCGAGCTGCCAGCGAGACATTCGAGCCTTCGCCCTGGCATGGAAAGTCTCGACCTTCATTCGAGCCGTCGCCCCGGCACTGAGCGCTTCGACTTTCGTCCGAGCCACCGCCCTGGCATCGAACGTTTCGACTGATCTCCGCGTCGTTATCCCCCCAGCGTCTGACTTCAGGCAATCGCGGCCCTCCTTGGCGACGCCCGCGTAGGTCGCCAAGCGCGCAGGCGTCGCTCCTCGAAGACCTGAGCTCCACGATCTGCAACGACGCCTCGCCATCGCCTCCGAACTGCGCGACGCCCATGCCCGCGCGAGGCGCCCGCCGCATCTTGGTGAGTGGTGCTGCGATTCCCAAAGCTGCCGACTCAGAATTGGGCGCCCGCGCGCGAGCGCGCCCGCCCGGCATCTCCACGGCGGGCATCGATATCAGCGGGAGCGTCGTTTCTGTAGGAATCTCGGTCGACTGCATTTCCCCCCTGAAGCCGCCGACGCCGATCGGAATCGCAACGGCGTCGCCCGTCGGACGAGCGCAGTCGGCCCTATGGCAGCCGTTCTTCTGCAAACCAAGCCAGGTGGTAGGTGCTTCTCAAAGCGCTCCCTCCAGTACTTACAACGCGCGCAAAGGGCGCAAGCTCCGCGTCGGTCGGCCCGGCGACGAAGGCGGCCAAATATCCCCAGCCGGTAATCATCGCTAGGCCCATCCCTGGCGTTGAACAGGGAGAGCTTGAGCGCGGTTATCAGCCCGGCGGCGTGCTCGCGCTGGGCCCCGCCAAAATGGCCGGCCTCGCCCGTGACCCCCGATGCCCCTAGGGGACGCCGGGAGACGTTGAGCTCCGTTTGGGCCCTGCCCTTGCTGGGCGCCCTGGCCCTCGCTCCGCAACATCTGCTGGCCCGCATTTCAGCTGAACGCCTCCTTGCACCTCGCCGCGGCGCTGAAGCTGGGGCGCCCGCGAGACCTCGCGCCGTCGACGCCGCTTGCCCTCGTCCGCGCACCCTGGCGGCGGAGCGTTGAGCACGTGAGCAAGCTGATGTGCGCGTTGTCGTCGTCCGCGAACTCCCCGGCTGATGATGGCCCTGATGCCGATGATTTGCTAAATCTGGCTCCCATCAGCTCCTTCGCGAACAGATTGAGGTTTGGCTTCGTCAGCTTCGGGGCATCGTCGCCCCGGGCCGACTCGACGCGCTCCTTCAGCGCGTGGTCGGCGACCGTCTCGGCGCGCAAAGGACGGCACCTGTCGCCTCCGTGATGCCAGTGCTTCGCTCGGTCGCCACGTGCGATGTTCTCGCCCAGCTTCCCGTCGGAGCCGTTTCCGAGCTTGTCGGCCGCTGTCGCGGCGAGGCCGCGCCCCTTCTTCGCCTGCGCCGCGCCGGCGCGACGCCCCTTCAGACGCTCCGCGAGGGCGCTCCTCTCGCCGCCGCCCTGCAAACCTACCTCCGGCGGGTGGCCTCCGTGCTGGCGCGCCGCCCAGCTCTCGAAACTCTGCTCCTTGGCGGGGGCCATCCCCGCCGAGGACTCCGGGTTCTCCGCCGAGATCTCAGCGCCGGCAGACCTCTCGCGAGAGGTGTCGCAGCCCCCGCCGCGGCGCCCGTCGCCGTCGCGCCCGTCGTCTCCGCGGCAGGTTTGCCCGCGCCTCGTCCCCAGAGTCCCCTGCGAAGCTGCCCGCGTCGCCCTCGTCCTCTTCCGCTACCTCTGGCCGCGACGCAGCTTGTCGCCTTGCTGCAGCTCCTCTCCGTTGGTCATGCAGGCCGTCGCCTCGGACATCGTCGCATCTCTCGAGCGCGAAGGACACCCTTGCCCTTGCCTGGGCAGGGTGGCGAGGAGCGGGGGGGGCGACGCGCCGCAGCCGACGACGGCTGCGCAGGCGCAGATGCGACGGCCCATGGAACATGACAGGCCGCTGTCCTCTCTGGGCATCCGCCGGCACCGAAGGCGCGCGCGCCCCAATCGGCAGAGTGGCCGACCGCGCATCGGTCGCTCTCGGGCCGGGGTAGCTCGTTCGGAGGTGCGCCCACTAAGGCGCGCAATCAGCGTTTGGGGCTCGACGCGCAAAAAGCGCCCTGGGTGTCCCGGGCGGGCGCCGCTGCAATCCCGCGCTCGCCCCAGACGCCCGGGGCCCCGAACGCCGGGCGCGGTCGCCGGGGGCTGCCCCCCGCCCGGCGTCGCCCCAGGTCCGGGCACGCGTCGCGGGGGGCGTCGTCGCCGACGCGCGTTGATGGCGCCCTCGGAGACGCGCCCGTGCCTAGTCGGGGTGGCGCTTGGCCGAAATCGCACTCGGTCGCGCGCGCGGCCCCCGAGAGCCCCTCCGAGCGCGGCCGCGGCGGCCCGCGGGGGGGGGGCGTGAGATTGCAACGGCGCTCCTGCGGGCAGGCCCAAACGCAGCGAAGCGGTGGTGCCTGTCCCCAGATGGGACAGGCACCACCACTCCAACGTTGTTCTGAACCCCGCGGACACCCCCGATGCCCCGAGACGCCCCCGACGCAAACAAAGGGCACGTCGTTGCAATCGAACAACCAGCCATTCAGCGCGTCGCTGCGTCCTGACGCGAGATGCTGGACCAGCGCGCGCGGCAGACTGAGCGGGCTCAGCGGCAAGCGCCCAGTCCAGCGGACGGCCCTTTTTACCCAGGCCGACCCTGGGCCAGGGTATGTTTTGGACCAATGAGCATCCCCCTCCGGGGGGGCGTCCAGCGTGAAGGAAAACTTGGCACCGCTGCCTCTCTGAAACCTGTTTTCACTGGCTTGGCCTTTGCATTGGGCCCGCCGAACTTCTTCGCCCCTTGTCCTCCGGACTTCGGGCACGCTGCGTTTCCGGCTCAACGACCAATGCACAGGCCCGCACTTCGTTCGCTTCTGCTCCTCTTTGATCTGCTCCTGTCGCTCCTCGAAGCGTCGCCTCTGAGGGGCCCTCGCTGCTTCTGCGCGTCGTTGAGCTTCTTCCGAGCCGCGTCGCACGCACTGTAGGCTCCATAAGCCTCGTCATCGTTGGATGCTCCCGCGTCGTTGTAGTCATCGTCATCCGTCGCGTTCGCGCCCTGCGGCTCCTCGAACTCCTCTTCCGATATCTCTTCGTCCCCTACGTCGCCCTCGACTTGGTTTGCCCCGGCCCCGCCGCGACTTCTCTGATGGAGCTTTCCACCTTTGCCCTGCTGGTGACCTCCGTGCCCAGGCGTGCCGTAATCCTTCTCATTGGCATCGTGGAAAATGACCCTCAGCGCTTGCTGGAAATTATCAAACTTGTCTTTCGATCCGCAACTCAAGACGGTGTTGCGCTTCTGCTCGTCTGTAATTCCGGCACCGTCCAAGAGAAAACATGCCATCATAGCGTCCGATAAGGTCGTGTTATCGTCGTGCTCCAGTAGATCCTCCCAGAGTTTCTCCTCGTTCGCCAAATATTATCCCATGACGGTGTTGCTGCGCTGGAAAAAGTTGTCAGACGCCAGTCCCTTTTTAGCGATGGCCTCTTTATGAAGCGCCGCCAGAGCCTCGAATATACGCTGATCCCCCCACGTTCCCTCAGCTCTCCTGGCTCGATGGCCAAGTGTTCAGCTCGTCGCCGCGCTCGACCATGTAGTCCGCCCACCAGCTCGACCAAGAACTTGCGTTTCATTTGATCCATGCTGACGTTCTGGTGAAACTCCTCGTCGCCGCCGCTGCCTTCGAGCCTGGGCAAGGCCAGGGCGACCCTCTTCTTGCACTCCTTGAAGAGCTTTGGATTGCTTCCCGTGTAGCGAAACAGGCCGTCTCGATCAACAACAATTTCTTCGTCACGATAATAGGAGCGTCCAGCTCCCTGGTCGTTCATCTTGGGCTCTGTCGGCTTTTCGGTGGGTGCCCGGCCGCGCCCGCAGATTCAGGTCTGGCGTGAATGCGATACCAGTCTGATCGTTACTTTTCTCCACTGCCCCCGTGAGCGGGCTGCAAGCTTACTGTGTGCGGAGGTGACAGCAGTCACATAGTACGAACAAAGAAAAACTCGAAGGCCGGTTTGACGGGCCGAAACGGTGGCGGAAGCGGGCGAGAGCAACGCAGGGGAGCACGGGCACTGGGACAAGGCACGGGCAGGAAACAATTCGGAAGGGGGGCAGAGGCTGAGCGCACAGAAGGGTCATGGGGCTCACTCTTAAGGAATCTCTGAACGGCCAAATCAGCCTCCAAAGGTCCGCGTAGGGCCTGCGGCGCTTAGTGCACCAGGCCTCCTCACGCTGGAACCCCTGCGTTCCGCAGAGTTGTCGACCCTTTACTCGGAGCGGAGAAGAGCCGTGGCGCAAAACCTCGAGCATGCCCATGAGCTCGCCTCGGGGCACAGAGCCTGGGCTCCTAAACCCTCCCATGGTGCCGCAACCCGCCTTCAAGACCCGCACGTCCTAGCTCAGAAGCGCACCCCCCCCGCCAATGACTTTTGCACTCTGGGGCGCCAGTGCCAGCGACATCTTGACATCAGAATACGCACACCCCGAAATGAAGGGGTCGTCGCCGAATTCAGAGTTGAGGACGTCATGGTGCTCTTGCGCCTGCAAGAACAAGTCATCGACGCGGTGGGCCGTTAACGCCTCGGGCGAAGAGCAAGGAGGAATCAAAGAAGGCCTTCGCCCTCTGCCCGATCGCTGGAATTGCCTCACCCGCTTCGTCACGAGCAGCGTCGAACTGGACGAGACAATGCAGGGGATCTTCCCCATTCTCCTCCTCAAGGAAGCAAGTTCACGCGTTCCGCAACGAACGCAGTCCATACACAAATCCGCCGACCCCCTTTGGGGTCTCCAGGCGCGTGAGATTGCCCCCCTACACATTGGTAGCCGATGGTTCCTCTACTGAGCCGACCCCCACTCTTTGCTTCTGACCCCAGGTATCCACCGACATCATTTGTTCCATCCGCGGCCGCGCCGCCCCCGGATCCGCAGAAGAACGCCGAAATTTACAGTACGAGGCGAAGCACGAACGCCAAAGAACGTCAGAGGTCAGGGTGCGTCGCCAGACGCCATCGGTGGCCGCCGGCGAACGGCGGGAGGCCTCGGCCGCGGCGCACGTCTCGCCCGCGCACACGCCGCCCTCCGGCAGCCCAGCGGCTGCGGCGGGCGGGGAGGCCGCCCGCGGGCAGTGCTGCACCAGGTGCGAGCAGCACCTTCGCGTCGTCGTCGCCGCCCTCCCTCCCTCCCTACTGCGCCGCCGCCGCCGCTATCCTCCCTTCTCCGTCCAACCTCCTCTCCCTTCCTGCTCCCTCCCTCCCTCCCTTTCGCCCTCCCCCCCTCCTCCTCCTCCTCCTTTCCGCCATCTCCTCCTCTTCCTCCTCCTCCTCCTCCTCCTCCTCCTATTCCTCCTCCTCCTCCTATTCCTCCTCCATCCTCTCCTCCTCCGCCTCCTCCTGTTCCTCCTCCATCCTTTTTCATTGAAGAAACTCCTCCCTGTCGCACCTCGAGACGTGTCGGTAGGGCGGGCTGGGTGTTCCGCCTAAGACTTCCTCACCATGTATGTTCCTTGATCTTAGAATTTGCAACAGCTTCACGGGTGGAGGTCGGGCGGTTTTCAACATGCGGTTCTGGTCTAAGCGCCGCGCACATTCGTTCTGAAGTTTGGAACGGTTTCACGGATGGAGGGCGGTTATTCTTCAACATGTGGCTCTCGCCCCAGCGCTGCGCACATGCGTTTGCAAAGTCTGCAAGACCTTCACGGATGGCGGAGAGGCGGTTTTCAAAATGTGCCCTCGCCTTAGCGCCGCGGGCATTGTTTTAAGAGTTCGCAAGGGCTTCACGGATGGAGGGCGGGCGGTTTCACAAACTCTCGCATTAGCACCGCGCAGATACGTGGATGGAGGGCGTTTTTTGTACAACGAATGGCTCGCGCCTTAGCGCCTCGTACATTCGTCTTAAAAGTTTGCAACTTCTTCACGGATGCAGGGCGGTCGGTTTTCAGTCTGTGGCTCTAGACATAGCGCCGCGCCCATTTGCTCTAAAAGTTCGCAACAGCGTCACGGGTGGAGGGCGGCTGATTTTCAACATATGGCCCTCGCCTTGGCGCCGCGCACATCCGTCTTCAGAGGTTGCAGCAGTATCTAAACTGTTTTGGGATGAAGTCCCAGGAGCTGTGCTTCAGCACGATGTAGGAGTGTCATGGCGCAACAATCACGTTGATTCGCGGTGTTGACTCCCAAGAACGGCGTTCCGGTTCGATTCAGGATCGTCAGGACGCATCAATGAGATTGCTGGAAAATTGTATTCTGGCACGGTTCAAGATTTCCAAGCTGTTGTCTTCCAGCGGTGTATTTCCAGCAGTGGAAACAAATTGTAGGGACAAGTGGACACGGAACTCGGGGGAGCGGTTATTGCAACATCATTGATGAGTCTTGGGCCATCGCTGGTCCTCCTCCTCCTTTTCTTCTCCTTCTCCCCGTCCTCCTCTTGATGTTCCTCCGATTCCTTCTTCCTCCTCCCCCTCCTCGCCCTCCTCCTCCTCCTCCTCCTCCTCCTCATCATCATCATCATCACCCCTCCTTTTCCCTTAATCCAGAAGCCGCATTAAAGTGATCATTTGTGTTTTGGCCCCCCCTCTGTCACAAAGGGGGTCTAAGATGCCCCCCCTCTGTCACAGAGGGGGTCTAAGATGCCCCCCCCTCTGTCACGGAGGACCTCGTTCTGGGTGCTCTTCTGCCACGGGAGCTCCCGATACGATTGGAGACGATAAAATGTGATGGCGGGATGGGGGATTGGAGGGGGAGGGAGAAGAAAACGATGAAGGAGAGGAGGCAACGACAGCACCGATGAAAGCACCGTTTCTTTTTCATTCTCCGCTCGGGCAGCGGTCGCCGAGCACGACGGCGGGCGCGAGTCGCCGCCGCTCACGATGCATTGGCAAGGCCTCCGCTGCTGCGGAGGGTCGACGTTCGGCCGATGAGGCCTCCCTCCGCTGCTGCGGAGGGGCGGCTCCTGTGCGATGGTTCAGCTAAGTTCTTCCCAGGGATTGGTCTCGGGGGGGTGTTCGACCCACCTCCAATTCGTGGCCTCCCAGTGCCCCTGGCCGCTACTCCACCCACTGTGGCTGCTCCACCAGTCACTGGGGCGTTGGTCGCTGCCGAACGCAACTTGCATGTCGCGCCAGGCGGAGTCGACCCTGCGGTCCTGCAGCGAGGAAGCCTCGCCGCTCGGCTGTTGCCACTCGCGCTCCTCGCCCTCCCTGGTGCGCCACCACTCATCCCTGCGCCACTCCCCGTCTGTTGGTTGCTGCCATGGCGTCTGTGGCCTCCGCTGCTGCGGGGGCTCTGGCGGCTCGTGGCCGAGGGCAGCGATCGCGTCCGAGATGTAGCTGGCGGCGCCGCGCTGCCCTCGCTGCCCCAGCGGCGCAGGCCCTGGAGATGGGCACTGCGGGGTCGGCTGCCACCTTGGGGGTGATAAGTAACTATTTCTATAAGTAACCCCTCCCTGTCAACCCCCGCCCCTTCCCGACACTCATTTCCTTATGTCATCCCTCGTCCTGCTCAGCCTATTCCTCATTCCCTCTCCTCCCTCCTGCCCCCCCCGTGCTCCACCCCCCCTCTCCCCCCCCCCACCCCCTTTCAACCCCCCGCCGCGACCTTCCATCGCCAGCCGCGGGCCAGTCGCGGCCGTCGTCCGCGTTTTCGTCTGCCCATCTTGGTGGGCGCCACGCCTGTTGGGCGCGCTCGTCTTGCTCGCCCCTCTCGCGGTGCTGCCCTGGTGCCTGGCGCTCGGGTCCGTGCTGCTCGGGCGCCGCTGCTGCGGCGCCCTGGAGCGCAGCTGCTTGCTGTTTCTGGGCGCGCCTGTCCTTCTTCTCTTTGTTTCTCTCCTGCTTCCTCCCCTGCGAACGCGAGCTGGCCATGCGCATTTGGAGCGGGAGAGGGTAGTGGGCGCCGCCGTGCCAGCACCCCCCCACCTCCACGGTCTCCGGCGGGAGCGTTTTCTGCAACGCGCGGAAGAGGGTCACCTCGCGATTATTAGAGAAGCGGTGGTCCCCTCTAGCCTCAGCCTCGGCGCGCCTCAGTTTCTCACGCTCCTTCTCTTGGATCTTGCGTTGGCATTCCTCTGGCTGAGTCAGTAAATCCTGGAGGTGCTCGCGGGCGTCTTTTTTCGGGCAGTAGCGATCGTAAGGCATCCCAGGGCCTCCGTCCTTGCAGTGGTGCCAGTACGTCGGATCCGATGATGGGCTGGTGGAGGCCCCCGCTGCTGCGGGGGCCTCTGCCTTGCTTCTGTTACGGTACCCGATCTCACCGATCACCGACTTGCGTGCGAAGAGCAACCCCGTCTCGTCTCTGTCGTGCACGGCGCTCAGCGGCCAGCACAGGGTGTACTCGCCAGGCCTGTTGAGAACGAAGATGCCGCAGCTGTCCAAGCACGGAGTGCCGTCCAATCCGCGCCAGAAGTACGCTGCTGCCGTCTCCAATCGCATGCCTAGACCCCGAAGACTCGGCAGCGTCTGTGTGAGCGCCATGTTGAAATCCCCACAAAGGATGTCAACGCTGTTGTCCTGCAAGATGGCCGCCAGCCTCCGCCACCACGTATTGTGAGCCTCCTTAAAGCCTTTGGAACCTTTCGCCGTGTCGCGGTGGAGGTGCACCGCGCACGCCCGCACTTTCGAGCCGAAGTGGGCGTAGGTTTGATCGAAGTAGACCTCAACCACCATGATCCTCGAGAACGCTTCCATCTTGTTCCCTTTTGCAGTTTTGTAGTGGCCGTCGACACTCCTTTCCCAGTGGAGCAGCCGCATTGCGTAACACAGATTTGCGCGCGCAGCGATGCACAAGGACTTGTCCTCACGCCCGCGCAGGGTCAAGTATTCGTACTCTGGTCGATTCTGGAGCTGTTGGCAATCGCCAAAACTCGCAGCACGACTTCCTCTTGCTGTCGCCATCGCTGCTGCGGGGGCGACAAAAGGCCCACCGCTGCTGCTGCTTTGGCCCTCCGCTGCTGACGCCCCCGCTGCTGCGGGGGCGTCCGCCTGCAGCGGCGGTGGTTTCCCTGGCCGCTGTAGGATTGCCTCCATCTGCTCCTCACATTCCGCAAAGCACGCCACGAGAGCAGGGCAATGCCGCAGCTGCAACTCAAGTCTCCGCCGCTGGTCCGCGTGGTTGGTCTCGCTCGGCATGGAGCCCCAGTTCCCGAACAGGACGGAAAGGTTGCCCACGTTGTCGTTCCGCTGCCTGTTCACGTCAGCCGCTCTTCTTTCGCAGAAGAACTGGAGCGGGACGGTGTCGCGAAGAACGCACTTGCGCCGCTCGACGTCGTCGGGCGGCGCGCAGCCCCCAAAGGCCGGCTGATCGCGCCGCTCTTCCTGAGGCTCTTCGTCATCACTCGGATCCACCGCCGAGTCGCCTGGGCGGGTGCGCATCGTAGAATCTTCTGATCGCGCCGCCGCTGCTGAGCTTGAAACGCCAGGCGGCGCAGCCCCCGCTGCTGCGGGGGCGCCCTCTGGCACAAGGGCCCAAGGGCCCTTCCAGGGTTCTGCCTGGCCACCCACAGGTCGCCAAACCTTCCCAGATTTCGCTGTAAACGCTGCCGACAGTCGGCCCCGAGGCCCCGCTGCTGCGGGGCCCAATGGGCTGCTGCTGCTGCTGCTGGCCGCGGCCATCACTCCCTGCCCCCGCGTTGCAGGGGGGGCGGCCGTCAGAGCCGGACTCCTGGGGCCGAAACGGCGGTGGAAGGAGGGGGGCGGGGCGAAGAGGAGGAAGACGGGGCGGATAGGGAAGGAAAGGGCGGGCAGAGAGAGAGGGAGAGAGAGAGGGAGAGACAGGGAGATAGCGAGAGAGGGATAGAGAGAGAGAGAGAGAGAGACGGACGACGATAACGAGAGAGAGAGAGAGAGAGAGAGACCGGACAAGTAGGCGGACCAGGGTCCGTCCGCGAGGCGCACTGCGGTGCGACAACCCGCAAAACACTATTAGCGGCGGTGCAGCCTTAAGATACGAGGGCGGGCAACAGACCCCCTCCCCCGGCGCATTGCGTCTGAAGCTACGGACGGCGGACAGACTGTGAAGATCTCACGTGTCAGACCGCGTGACGAAGAAGGCCCCAACAAGAAAGGCGACGTGCGGACACGTGGCTAGGCGGCTTGGCAGACCGCCAGTTGGGCGCTTGGCCGCAGCGCGGCGCGCAGGGACGGGGCACCCCCCGCCCCCAC